GGGGGTAGTTAAACAACAGCTCCTGACATTGAGGATGATATCTGACCTTTCACATGTGCCTGCATTCTCTTGTGGGTGGCAGAGGTGAGCGCACAGGCCCACTCTGTATGTCTTCCAGGGGGTTCAAAGATAATCCGAGCAGAACTTTGTTGAAAAGCAAGTGTGAGAGTGTCACAAACCGCAATGTATGTGTTCAAATGCAGGCTTTGGCTAATGATTATTTTCACCGACTGGTTGTCAAATCTTTTTTTAAGGGGTATAATCATTTCTACAACAAAGCCCCAAACAAAAGTCCATCAGCGGTTCCCACAGTTCAATTGACACCTGCTAATCTCCACGACTAATTAGAAACTTTCAGTCAAATATTGCATGATGAATTTGACAGTTAATAGCTTTTGGGTAAGAAGCCATCCGTCCTCTACACCGCTTCCTCCAGTAGGGTCGCTGGGGCTGGAGCCTATCCCAGCAGAGACAGGGCCAGAGGCGGGTACACCCTGGACAGGCCACCAGACCATCACACCTCTGTAGAAGATGTGCTCGTATTTATAAAAAAAAAAAGGGGTTACAAAGAGAGGAAAATCCAAGCGCCCCTGTCCACTCTGTTGTTACGATCTCAATAAAGCGGGAATTTCAAAGCAGCTGAAATAACCAATCTGAAAATAAAAGATAACACAGTGTGCTGAGTCTCTTGAGATCCGGATGTGCTGCCCTCGTTGTATGTATGAGCATAATTAGGGGCAGAAAAAAAGGCCCTCTTCATAATCAGTTACAAATATGCTCAGCCCTCCGATTGCTCCACATGAGGAGCAAATCTAACCGTCTCCATTTCTGACAGCCCACCTGACAAATTCAGGTTCATTTCAATCCGATGTCACACAATCGGTGCCAACGTCAGCCTCTGGGGCGTGTGAGGGGCCAGAGAGTTCGAGGATGTGATGATGTCTCAGTGTTTGGTCTAATAGCTGCCTCCTGAATTATAAAACAGAACACTGTCTACCTGCCATATTTCCGTGTTCCACAAATACCAGCACACACACTCACAGGGCCTCAGCGTGAAAACAAGAGGCAGCTGAGTTATGGCCTGCAGGTTACCGCCACATAAATACTCACTGCTGTACAGGGGTAGTTGTTTCAGACTGAGGGGACTTCGCTGCGAGCTCCATTTCTAACATTACTTTAGGAGTTGCTAGGGTAACCCAAATCTGTGCAAGAAAAGCACTGTGGTCTGGAGACAGGCACTGTAAATTACAAACTCCATTGGCAAAGTGGAGTTGCTGGCTCGGAATGCGCCTGTTCCGAGGCTGGGCGGATGAGGACATCTGGCAAATGGGCCGGACTTTTGGTTTGACAGCTTGGTTTGAGCAAGCAGCACTGGACAGTTGGCCGAGAAGCTGGATGCCAGACTCAAGGACAGTGGATCAGAAAAAGGTGCAACTGACTTTGTATTCTGAGCTGACTGAATTTTTTCACGAGCACTGTGACTTGGCACAGTTCTCTCGAAAGATTGCGGCACAGCACACTGACCTGACATGTAACAACGGCATTACCTACTTGATTTCTGTTGGCCGTGTAATTCAACACATGCGTTGTGCGCCCATTTCCGCCACGTACTGCTTTTCTTAATTTTTGACTGGACTGAACTTTGAGCAGTGTGCGTTAAATGACATCATCATCCCCCCGTCCTCTGCAGTGGTTTAATGGCAAAGTGGGGGGGCTGGTCTCACTGGGACATCGCAGGCTACGCTCAGACTGTTTGCTGACACAATAAATGTTTTTTTCTGTATCTACATTGATTCTAAAAAGTCTGAACACAGATTTCTGCACAGATGTCTCCAGGGTTTGTCACAATGTAGCACACAGTGGCCATTCAGGGCTAAAACGACCTGTTTCACACAGTGATCTGCAAGCTTTGGACATGTAATCAAGGATCACCAAATCAGCAACAAACACACACATCCAGAAACACGGACCCACGATGGGACTCGGGCTTGGGATTCTAACAGGTCTTGGAGTAGGTCTGAGTTTTAAGACAAACTAACGTGCAAAGAAAAGGCAAATGTATTCTCTTTGATCCAGACGCAGCACCACTTAAAACACAGGTATACACAGCCACCAGCTTTCTCGGCCTAACATATGGGAATGTGCAAAGCCAGGTTGCACAACACACCTCCACAAGTCCATGAACATTTACCCGAGCCACATTCCATCTTTCCACCAAGTACACAGCAAAACAAAGCCCAAAATAAATTCCTACTCTGAGCAGAGATGACACACAATGTCCAGGCATTATTGTTAATTGTCATAAAAGAGCCAACAATGTTTAATTAAAGCGTTCCTTTTACCAAAACAACAACTTGTTTGGATGCCTCTCTCTCCTTGAGGGTGGCGTCCACAAAAGATTAACCTATGGAATGGAAAGATACGCAGAGAAAGAGATCTCTGGGTGCGGCTCTCTAAACCCATCCCTGCATTCTTGTCGTCCCTTTTCTCTGCTGTCATTGGTCACCTCCAGAGTTACTTTCTCTCTCTCTGTCTCTCTGTTGCTCTCAGCAAACGTGGTCCTGTGAACCATCTCCAGTTGCTTTTGACGCGTGCTCTGCCTCCGTCTGTTCTGCCTAACCTCTGTGGGAACAGGGCTTAATCGTGCACAACAGGATTTCTGCCTCTGTACGCTCTCTTTTCACAGACAGCCACCGAGCACGTTCAACCACCAGCTCTCTTGTTGTGTTATGAGATACATCCTTAAAAACTGATGAAACCGTTTTTGGCTTACACATGCTCTCCATGCTGGGTGAACAAAAACGAACACACCATCTCGAGAGGACTTTTTGTATTAAAACAACAGCAAACTTCTTGAAAAACAGAATAAGAAAAAAAAAAAAAACATACCAGATCTCCATTTGATGATTTCATTGAATTCTTCATTGGCTCCACCTCCCTCGGCCACGTCACCATGAAATGCCATAGTGGAAAACTAATCCAACGATGAAAAGGCTGAAATGATGGCCTCTTGACACACAGTGACCAAGGCCTCTGTCCACACCTGCGGGCAAAAAAAGGAACTGATTTTAGTCAGTCCCAGATATCTGAAATCTTATTTTTTCAAAGATTCAATGACCTCATGTCAGGCTCTACACAGCTAAAGAATTTTAAAAAAAACTTTGACTTGAATGGTCACCGGCCCAGTTAGACCAGGCACTTCGGAAAGGTGGTAAAAGACCAGCAACTGGTTGAGAGACAGCTGTTTTTTCCACCACCGTGGTGTGACGCTGCCAACCTGCCCATCAGTTTAGGGACACCATCGACTCCTCCCCAAAAACGTTAGACAAGGAAGAAATGGTTTGGGGTCTGAGCAGACCAACAAAATGGATCTGGGTTAGACAGGCGTGTGCGTCTTACAGGGCTGCACCTTTTTGAGAGTAACAGATCAAACATTGCCACACATGGTGTGTCAACCACTGTCACATGCTCACATGAAAATGAAACAAACTGGAAGATGCGGTGATGCGTGGTCAACTTCCAGTTCTTTCATAAAGTGAAACCGTCTGTCCAGGTCTCCATGTGCTCACTCTGATCTGAGAACAGGGGGCATCCGCCACTAAACTCTCCCATGTTCACTCCCAGAATAGCCTGCTTTTACCATGAAAGGAGCTCGCGTCAAAGTTTCAACAAGCTGTACGCTGTGTGTTCCACATCTTAAAGGGTGATGTCAGACCCAAAAATAACAACTGTAAACTCACCAAGAAGGGGGAAAAAAAGCCAGTCTCCTCCGTCTCACTGGTATCTTTACAATTTCAGTTCCTCTCTCTGCAAGAGTTGTGACAACCAAAGCAAAACAAGCAAATGGATACAATCTGCTTGGAGAATCGGAGGCCCCAGATGCTGATGTCTTAATGCTTTTCAAATGTTGGTCAGCACATCTTAGTTTGATCACATCCGAAAAATGGATCACTGATTCATTCAATGTATTGGATCTGCAGAAATGAGGAAACTTTTCCAAATCAAAAACAAAGCAAAGCAACAGATCACAGAAAACAGGACGTGAGCAGTTGCCTTGGTTAATGTTTTATCTCACATGCGTGACTGCAGCCCCAAACCTTTTAAATCCAGGCTGACGCTGCACACCAAACAATAACCAGTCACAGTCACAAACACCAGTGAGCTCCTGACAGCTTTTTCCAGCGTTCCACAGTTAAGGGGAGCATCTTAACTCTGAGGACTCACTTAACGACAGTGAGCCCGAACCTGAATCCCCGCAGAAACAACGATTTACACTCCAGATCTGAGGCGTTTGGCGGATCCAAAGGCACACACTCACCTCCGCTGTCACCGAGGGGTCAGCAGACGCCTTCCCTCACAAACAAACACAAAAAAGTGTGCGCTACGGCCAGACAACTTAGTCGAAACCAGCTTTAAAGTGTTAAACAACCAACTGATTTACGGCATTTTCAGCCAGGCAGCAGGCACGCCTCTTAACGAGCGCTCAAACTTCGCTAATGTTAGGAGAACCGTCCTCAAACGCATCCAGTCTTCACGATGCACCCCCCCCACACACACACACACACTGACAAAAAAAAACTAAAACCCCTCTTACAGACGCCTTTTAGCCGGGCAACACAAAGGAAAGCACACCTCCTGCTGTATTCAAAGTTGGGCTCTCTGGTCGTCTCTCGGTAACGACGAAGAGGAGCATTGGTGTCCGCAGGTGACCACCGCAGCGCCGCGCACGCAGGTCCCACAACTTTGCTGCTTTCTTGACTTTCTCCCTGTTGCTGCCGGCAGAGAAAGGCTGCAAACGCTCAGCTGCCTGTGCTTCACAGTAAAGACACCGAGCGTTGCCGCTGACGTTGCCTTCACCGCTCGCCGAAAGCCATAACGAACGTCCTGAACCCGGGGTGATGACGTAAAGCCCGCGTGCTTATTAACGGCCTATTAATTCTTAATGGTAATGTCTTTAAAATAACATTTTAAGCAAACTCTTGCCCCCCTGCAGTTTTATTTTGAATGCTGTAACCGGAAACCAGTCTCCGTTACTGTGGACTTTGACAACAGCCCTGAACTCTTCCCTCGGGCTGTAAAACTTTTCCTGACGCAGGGATGGAAACATGGCGCGGTGGCTGTCACGTGACGTAACAGCAACAAAACCAGTGACTGCCAAGGAAACAATAGCAAGGAGCTACCCTGTTAAAAGAAATACAATCCAATACGATCCTGTGATCGTTAATGGACTCCTCAAGAGAAGATCACTTAAATTAGAACATTCCAGCAACAGGCCATTTATCTCATAGAATGTATTCTATAAATACTAATACAATGTCAGCATCTCTAATAGCAGGAATGTAGTAGATTATTTTCCAACTATTAGGGCTGTGTAATATATCATACTGATCACTATTTAGCAAAATAAAGTGTTGACTTACACAACCGCTGGAATACCAACTACAATGTAAAGTGGGGTTCTTTAGAAAATGAATTGCATTCCACGTCTCCACTGCTTATCGCTTTGTTAGGGACACAACTCCTGGAAATGACTGAATATCCTTGAGATAGCTTATGAGCGTCACCTTGTGTATCAGTTTCAGCTCAAACTGAGTGGTTGTTTTTCCTTAAAGAAACACAACTATCAGCAATAGGAGCCGTCTTGCTGTGAAACCCCCCAAAAATAATTTGACATCATATCTAAAGTTAATGCGTTCAATCTAACAAAAAACATTAAATGCAAATTGGAGCACATCCAATAAGTTGTGTGTCATTATTGAAACTCCTCCGCAGCCTCCTCTGATACGTAGCGTGAAAAGCAGTAAGTTCTCAGGTCCCGGGGATTGAATGGTGTGTCGGGCCCAACAGAGGAGAGTCTCAGTGGCTCTGGGGGAGCCGAGATGGTGATCTCCCGATGCAAACTCTTACCACTCTCCCTCCAGCTTCTCAGTTGTCAGGCCTCCTTTGTGGATGTTTCCTCACACAGCCCAAAGAAAAAGCTCAATTTCACAAATTAGTGCTCTCACAGGCCTTCGACACCTATCAAGTGACAGCATTTGTGTTAACTGGTGTGTCGAGAGACCAAAGGGACAAGTATCAATGCTCACAGTCAGGCTCTTGTACGTGTTTTCAAAACTTTTTTTTAAAACTTAAGTGGGGCTACTACACACTGCTATAGACAGTAACATGTGAGACGCTGCTATGTGTGTGATGAAGTTTTGCAGATGGAGAGTTTGGGGTAAACAAAGTACATAAGGAGTTTTGAATCTATGTGAAAATAGAACAGCTAATGATTGCAGCGATTTTCTGGGGAGCTTTTTTTTTTTCTTCCCGGGACAGAAACAGATGACCGAGTAAGGATGAGTGTAAAAGGCATCGCCCAGCAGGGAAATTACAGGGGTGTGTGCAGGCCTCAAAAAGACTCATGCTGGACTTAAGCCCAGGAACAAAACAAGGGCTTAGGGCGCCCTCTTCTGTCCACATGCCGTATTTACTCCTTTACGTTGAATTTAAGTTTTACAATAATTTCACAGAAACGTAGCAGGTTCATATTCAATCTAACATGAAAAAGCCATATATATATGGCACCATTTAAAATAAAATGTACAGTATAAAAAGTGATAGCAATCAGTAGAACATAACTCATTTGAGTACATCCAACTATATCGGTTATAAATGCTACTGGTGTCTGATCAAACTTGCTTTAACGGACTCCTCAGCTTCATTGTAACATAACTAGCAAAGTAAGGAAAATAGACAGCAAAAACAATACTGTGAAGAAAAAATGATAATTGCCGTAATTAAAAGAGGGAAAAAAGGAAAACGGAACTTCTAGTAATTAGGACATTTTCGTTAAGCTTCTAAGCGTTTTCAGCTTCTTCGGATTTTCTGTATCTGTTCCTTGTTTGTCTTTATAATAAACAATAACTGGTGGCGACCTGTGCCACAACGGAGGAAAGAACAGACACAAAACAGTGAATTACCAGGAGTGGGGTTCGAACCCACGCGGACATATGTCCATTGGATCTTAAGTCCAACGCCTTAACCACTCGGCCATCCTGGTTCGCACAACCCAGCCCGCGGTGTTGATAAAATAAATGGTGTACTGTCAGGGCTAAATGTGGATATTAATTATGTTTTTATTTGGCCATATTTGTTGTGGTTATCGAACACTAGACAAAAATCGCCGGCTTATTGACAAATTCGCGCAAAAACACCAGTTACTCAATACGCTAGCATATTAGCACCGACTTGCTAACTTTGTTTGCTAACCTTGCTCCTCGGTAGGAACGCTGACATACCTTCGACACTTCAAAAATAACAACTATATCTTTATGATAAATTAAAAGAAAACGAAACGACACGGCTTAATGTTTCCAAAAATATTCGTATTACATCCTTCGCTGCTATACTACTATAGAGATGACAATGAGTTCGCGTTAGCAAACGATAGCAAAAGTTAGAATATTAACCGTATTTTCTTCACAACAAAAATGGAGCTAAGTGTTTATTTTCGCCTTAAGGTCAAACACTGAATAATAATTTAAAAAAACTGCGAAGCACATACATACGTTCATACATTCAAATAATAATCAAACACCAGTAAAAACGAAAGGAACTCCTGAGTAATGCGTGAAGTTTTGATGCCACAGGCGCCCAATCTGTCCCAAACACTTATGACACCTCGGAGTTCTACAAAGTTCCACACTGGAAGACAAACGACTGTTCCGCCCTTTGTGGCAGGTTGGCACGATCAGGGCTGGGCAAGTGTCATTGCTCTATGAATTTATTGCTTATGAAAACAAAAACAAAGATACGCTGGTGTTCTTAGACATATGTGCCATGTTCACTTTAGCTGTTTTCCTACGGGTTACTGAGGAGAATCGTTATTAGCCGGAAAATAAACCCTCACGGCAAAATCTGAATTAATCAGACAATTCTGCAACAAATTTAGATAACCTTTCAATTTTGCCAAGTGACAAAAGAAGTGAACAACACCTGAAGAAGGCATTCATGACATGCATTCTCTTTTATTTAAAGATTTCAATACTTAAATCTCAGTTTTAAATACTCAGGAACAACAACCTAATTTATCTAAACTGGTTTCTCTATTCTCATTTTTTATATATTTCCATGTATAACTGAATCAAGCACTTTAATTTATTTTGAGCATAGGCTCAGCATTCAGGACCCTCACGTGAGCGGCCCTGTAAGTTGCACATGGACTCTCATCAGCTCATAATATAGAGCTGTGTCACTGCAATTTTGGGAACTCTTTTTCCATCCTTGCCTCCCCTTCTCATGGAGAGGGTTTGTACTTACTTCTTACTAAACTCGACACTGAGTTATAACCGTGCCACAATTCCAACCTGGACTCAATAAAATCCTTTTATAGTTGCTGTTGCCTGCATTTGGGACCTGTTGTATGCTGGCCCTTTGACCCATGACACTATTAGTTGTTTGTGGAACATTAAAAAAGCTTTCAGTCCTCAGAAAAACACAAGATGATCTTCAGCAACAGGCAATTTACAACAACTTCATTTATTTGTTGAGTCAACGAACAGTTTAAAATAAAGTTGTTTCAGCTAAACTCTTCTTCTCTTGAGATGTTGAAGTCTTTCTCTCTCTCTCTCTCTCTCTCTCATATACAAACACTCAAACACATTGATCCTTCATGTGATTATAACAACATCCTCAGTATACTGTAAATTAACTTAAAGATAGCCTTCAGGTCTGTGAACAATTCACTTGCATCGTAAATCAGTGGGACTAGTGGGACTAATACACTTCGGTCTCACAAGTGTCTCTGTAAAGGCAGCAATCACATCAATTGAAATTATTGCACATGTTTTCTTCCATTTCAGTTCCATATGATTTTCATATTAAATTGATTTTAATTTGTTCAATCATTCCTAACTGCACACTGTCAAATTCAGTCCCCAAAGCGTTCAGTTGTTTCTCGCGCAAGGTAGGCAGGGACAGCATTGCAGAAAAGGATTTTTCTTCTTGTATCGAATGGCCCTCTTGATGTGATAGTTGAATTTATCAATGTGCTCCTGGGTGTTGCGCACGTTAGACTCGATATTGTTAAGAAGAGATCCTTGCTCCTCCACCAGCAGGGCCATTTGCTGGAACAGTTCATGGATCTCCTTCAGCCTGGCCTCCAGCTCCACCAGCTCTTTGTGTCTGCTTTTGATGTCACACAGGGCTAAACGGCACGAGCGTGCACCTTGTGGCTGCAGGTTCTGGGACAGTTCAGACCAGCCCTCACCACCTTTCTCCACTATCTCATCCAGCTCCTCGCAGCTGATGTTTTTTCCCATGATGGAGGCTTGCCTTTGGATCCGGCTTCGACATGAATTTCTCTGAATTTCCTCGGCCTTGTTGTAAGCACCCATGACATCTTGGAAGGCGCGGGTCAGCGTGTCGTACTGAGTAAGAGCTATGCGAGCAACCGCAGAGTGGCGACCTTCTTTCTCCTCCAGCTGGTTTTTCTCCTTACCCAAGGCCTGCAGACGGCCATAAACAGCCTCCATTCGATGGTGGATTCCTCTGGCCATGGAGTCAGAGTCCCTTTTCAGGAGGGTGAGTCGGCGTATGGATGTGGCATAGCGCTCATTGTGGGCACCCAGGCGCTGCACCTCCAGATGAATCAAGTCGATCTCCTTTCTTATGGACTGGGCCTCCACCAAGACATTGTCAATATTTTGCGGGTTCTCAAAAATGACTGCCTGTTGAGGAGACAATGTCGCCTTGTCTACATCATACTCAGGTCCACAAAAGTCTGAGTCGTCATCCTCCTGCTCCTCAGAGATGGTCTGCAGTCTCACCAGCATGTCCCGCATTTTGCCTGATGTAAAATAAACCCATAGATAATTACCGATTATCCAAATATCTGAAATGCAGAGTACAGCACTGGTTTACGGTGTTCAGGGGAAACTGCCAGAGCTTTAAGAAATGTCAGGGCTACAACAAAACTGCAGCAGGACTAGTATCTTTCAACAATGACAGCAGTCACACCTCAGTGGCTTATTGGAATGCCCTAAGTTTAAACCAGGAACAAGGAAGACACAAAAATATGTCCTCTTAAACAGAATTGAAGTGACTTACAGAGACAAAGCTATTTTCTCGACAACAGAATTGAAGTGAGTTACAGAGAGAGCTAAACTATATTTGAGTTCGACATATATGTGTGCGATGTCATGCCACACAAAGCCTTCAAACTAATGATTGGGGGTTTGACTTATTTAGACGTTCGTTCTCTGTCTCAATTTCCTCATTCCACCTTTTGAAAGACAATGACGCTGTTCGATAAAAACCAAAACATTTCTTTAAATATCAGTCTTGACATTTAGAGGAGTTTTTTTATTTTGAGATATAATTCAAATAACTTTGTGCCATCAATTACCCTCCGGGTGGTTACATGATTTTCAGATAAATCATATCAAATCAAACTTTCTTACCTTTTCTGATGTCAGCAATATCAAAAGATAAATAAAGTCTGTAAAGCCAGTCTCATTGATTTATCTTACGGTCTAAGACATTTGACAGAGCATCCTACTATTATGGCGAGAACATTCATCTGTGAGTTCTGCATGTGTGTCCTTGTAGCCCTTCCCAGCAAATGATACCAGGGCCTTCCCACTGAAACACGATCACTTCCTCGAAGATGGGAGCCATTTTCTGCCACCATATTTCCGCTCAACAAAAGAATTCTAAAAGAGGGCATTCAAGTTGAGCATGCAAGAAAAATAAAAGGAGGAGTTTAACTAACAATCTCTTGAAAAATAATGGCAAAAATATTTTGCACTTGCAAAAATTTTGTGAGTTAAATCAGCAAGGTGACGGAGCCCCGAAGGATTCAGGAAGTCCAGAGCTGGACAGATAAACTGGAAATTCAGGGTAAATTTTTTTGAGAACTGATACTGGTTAAATTCATGACTTTCATTGGAGATGTATCCTCTGTTTTAGCGCCTCCTCATTTGTGGGGCACCCCAGCGACCCCTTTTTTTATAGTCTCATCTAGCATTGACATGTTTCCCCTTTCTCAGATCTGGCACAAACATTGTTTTTAATTTACAGTGCAAACACTGACAATCTTCATTATCCTGAGACTTTCCCTACTTCCGTAGTATTATATCGAACAGAGATGAAACCCTAACCTGTTCTGAAATCATAACCTGTTGCCTTTTGAGTTTGAGCCTTTGCTCTTCAGGACCTTTTAGTACCAGAACACGAGCCAAGTGTCCTCTTTTTACTTATTTACTAACTTTTACGTATTATCAAGAGGCCTTTATACCAATTTTGAGAAGTGCCATATAAAGTGTTATTGTTAATTGGATTTTAGGCTGAAACAATAATGAACAAAGAATAATGTCATATTTTAATAGTCATGTTAAATACAATACACCAAAGAAGAAATACAATGATAAGTTTCCTTAAAATAAAAACTCATTAAAAGTTGCACATAAACAGTGTGATTGCTGGAAAGAAAATCCTGCTGTTTAGTTTCTGCTAAGAAAAGTAACAGGGAAGCATTGCTTGGTAAACCCAAATGTGATTTTGATGCAAAACTGCAGAAATCCTTAAAACTGAATAAATAAAAACACAATTTATCCAATTTCTCAAACAACTTTTTATCTTTGTCAATTGTCTGAACAGTAAAAGGACACCTAGCTATTCAAGACCAAGAATTGTTTGATACATTCATATAAAGTTGGCTGTGGAAGTTCATTGATCCAACAGAATATTTATGAGAATATTTATGCCTCTGATCCTGAAAGATACATCCTCCACAGTTTTACTGACCAAAATGCATTTTCAAATGGTTTTGATCACATCTAAGTCACAGGATGGTGAATTAAGATTTGAGATACCAGTCTCAGATTCTTTAAACACTAATTCAACTTAAGTATGATCAATCTGTACTTTACAAAAGCATTTTGGTTTCACAATCAAGACTTACAATGATTTCACCATTTATTGTATCCCTTGAAAGCATCTTCTCCACATTGCATACGCATAAATGCTAGCAGTGTTTTTAATATTTATATTATGCTTTCTATTTTTCTTAGTTTAAAAGTACTCTGCATATGTTGCCCTTTCTCAACTTATCTCTCATCTTTTCATTATTTGACACATGGGAAGCAGCTGCAAAACATCTTTTTAAAAGGGTTATTGCCGTCATGACGCTTGGCCCTGCGAAGTTTGACAAGAGCATCTTGTATGCCCTCATCAGTCTTTTGAACGTTGGTTTGGATGGCTTCCAGCATGGGGCCCTGCTCCTCTACCAGCAGGGCAATGTCCAGGAATATCTCATGAATGCCCTGGATACGGGCCTCCAGGTCCACCAACTCCTGGTGGCGCTTCTCAATCTGGGACAGAGCCGATCGCGCTGTTCTCCCCTCACTCACCACGTTGTCGGTAAAGATGTTCCACTGGCCTTTCTCAATCATCTCCTCCACATCCTCCCCTGTCACCTCACGTCCCACTATCTCCATCTGCCTCTGGATCTGGGTTTTGCAGTTCTCACGATGGTTCATCTCCGCCTCGTTATAGTCGAACATGGCGTCTCGGAAACCATTACTGACCGAGGCGTACTGGGTTCTTGCAATGCGAGTGACGGCAGAATTGGAGCCGTGTTCTTCTTCCAACTTGTGGGCTGTGCCCTCCATGTCATGCAGGCGTGATAGGACACCCTCGGCCCTCTTCTTTATGTCAGCACCTATTCCATTGGAGTCTCTTTTAATTGTGCTCATGGTAGTGACACCATGCAGCATGCGGGAATTCTGCTCACGAAGCCTTTTTACTTCAATGCGAATGAGTTGGATCTCTTTGTGGATATCTTGAGACTGCGAAAAGACCTCTTCCAGAGCAGGGCTGTTGTCAAAAATGACCGCCTCATGGGGCAACTCATCCTCCAAGTCGACGTTACTGAAGGTGTCAGAGACAGTGGATTCCGGATACTCCAATGGCTCAATATTGTCAGAGGATATAACCTGTAAGTGGCTTAGTCTGTCCCTCATGGTTGGGCTGAAGCAGAGGTCAGGATTACAAACGTCAAGGTGATTTTCTGCCACTAATTATCGTTCCCGTCACACACATCGGCCGCAATGAATCAGCAAAAACTGAAAAGAGAAAGAAACATCACCTTGAGTTTCACAATGCTTTCTGATAACTGCATGTCAGATCCAGATAAAACCAATAAACAAGTGCATACATGGCTATTGTTTTGTTGAATCTATGCCCGTTCAAGGCTCTTTTCCTTCTTCCTTCAGGTAAAACCCACCCAGCACCCGTGACTAACCCAACAGGTTCCCCAGAGAACAGTCATAGGCGTTGCTTCTGACCAAACTAGTTCTTTCAACGCTTGAATTGTCTGACGTTCATTTTGACTTTTGTCCTAAGTGGGCCATCAGATTTTGCAAATCAGATTATAGATATGTACAAGACTTTGAGATAATATTCAGAACCAAAAAAATATTTCAATGAGCTAAGGGTGCTGGTGACATCATCAAAATGCTAGTCAAAGCCACCCAGGCCCATCACCTGCAAAACATTTCACTTTGTTCTCGCTGCTTTCAGCAAGTTTCAGGATCAACACATATGTAGTTTCTACAATAGAACTGAGCAAGTCTATAAAGAAGCAGATAAATTAAACTGATAAATGGTAGGTTTGTGGGTTAAATAATGCTACTTTGTTTTGCACCACCTGCTTGTAAACATTTTTTAGCAATACTGTGGTTAACTTTGGAGTTGTTTTATGTAAAAGTTAGAGTATTGGCATGTTAAATGATAAAGGGCAACATCGAAACATGGTATATGAACCAGATTAAAAGTACATACAATAAACTACGCATAATGTACAAACAGCCTATCTAAAGACATAATCTGATTTATAAAAATATGAGAATTTCATAGACTGTTTTTCATTATTCAATTGCCCACATGTTTCATGATGTACATCAACCAATATTTAGGGAAGTTATCTTTTCATCTTTTATTCATCGTTGGCTGAATCACGGTCCGAAAAGAGAGAATGTTTTTCTCAGTCTCATGCAGGATGGCGAGATTAAAGGATAGAGACTTACCAGTTTTCCTTATATTTTGGCTTGGAGATATCAAACTTTGTCCCGTGAAGTGAGGTGGCTGCGGTGCCTCAGCAGCATCCTCCAGCTCTGGGGCAGACTACACTAATCTGTGAGAGGAAGAACAAAGAGCCCCACATGCGTAACGCGGCTATCTTTGGCGCTAACGCTGTCATTCCCATGCGCCATAGTTAGGGCGATGGGTTGCGCCACGCAATTGTAATGGTGCGACCTGTGGAATGCAGACCGGTTGGTTTTGCCTGGCGGTGACGCAGCATCCTCAGAGACAAGCTGAGCAGTCCGAGTCAGTTTCAACTCAACCCGTGCAGCTCCTCCAAGGAAGGCCACGTTTGAGCTGGACTGTGAACAGAAGTCCAGCAACCGCCCACCAAAGTATCACAGTGGTATTTGTGTGTCCAATTAGCTTTTGACCCTTGTGTTGCAGCTCCTATTAACTCCAGCTTTGGTGTTTTGTGGAAAGGATATACCTGGTGACATCTGAAAGGAAAAGAACCGTGCTTCAAGTCACAGACTTTCTTGGCCACGCCCAAAACAACTTCCAAAACCACTCTGGGTGTGTTGGGAAAAAGGTAGACAGCTTACAGACAAATGCAGTTGAACCAGCTCCCAACACACACAATTTCAGGACGCACTGTACTTTAAAAACTATCTATCTATCTATCTATCTATCTATCTATCTATCTATCTATCTATCTATCTATCTATCTATCTAT